ATAGATAGATAGATAGATAGATAGATAGATAGATATATATATATACACATACATACATACATATATACATACATACATAGGGTGAATGTGCAGTAGTAGCAGCAGGAACGTTTCTCCCACTGAAAACGCTACGTCCGGATGAACAGAATCGAACTTTTGGGACACTAAGTTTATGTTTTATTTTTCAATATGTGTTCGTGTTATTCAAACTTAGCAAAGAGGTCATAGTCCTGCTGGAGAAAGACAGTAGTTTTTCCCCAAAAGATTTCTGTTCCTCTTAATTTGACTTTTTGCAGAAAATGAAAAAGTATGTTCCCCTGAAAGGTCAGCTACAACACACCAATGAATCAGTTTCTTTAATGGTTGGATTTTGCATAGCTAGTAGGAAAATAGGATGCTGTAAGAGGGAGGAGGGAGTGTTCAAGGAACCACATCCTCACTATGTACGTTTAAGTGTGCTGGGTGCATCAGGCTCACTGCAAAACTGCAGCTTTTTGACAGTGTTTCATAGCCCTTTTGATATGTTAAGCTTCAGTTCATTGGCTGCAGGCTAGAAGATAAGAGCTATCAGTGTGCTTCATGCTCTCTCTGTGCCTTTAGGAGCAGGCTGTCTTTTTAAACTCACTAGCTGGGCAAAACGTGGATGTATGGGAACTAAAACTTGCTCTGAAAACTGGATATTTGAGGGGAAATGTTAATAGAAACTAGAACCGATCTATAAAATTTCAAATCTCTTCTTTTTCACAGCAATCACCAATGAATTGAAGAAAGTCCATCTTAAAATCCAGGAGGAGAAAGAGAGAGAGAAGAAAATCTATGCCAAAATGTTTGCCTAAACTATCTGACCTCATGATGCAATTGGCTGTCATTATTTACAGTGGAAGCTGTACCCACAGATAAGCAGTGTATCCAGGTGAAAATGTTCAGTATTTTCATTTCATGGGTCCTCTCATGTTTTTACACCATGCACATTTCTTAATGTCTGTAAGCTTGGACCTGCCTTTACTGTAATGAATATCGTGAACATCGGTCTGATTGCACGGTGCTGGAAAACCAACTCATGTTGGTGGTTTGAAGATTAGCAAAGCAATTTTGTGTGTGTGTTATTCCATGGTAGGAATTTTAAGAGTGCTCTTGGCTACAAGCAGGATATCCATTTGTGTTTATTTATGTTGTTTTTTGTGTTTATTTTTTAAACTGAGGTCAATAAAACAAAAGGGACAACCGTCAAGTTTCTTTATTAGTACTGGGACATTATCATAATATATACAATACTGTATATACCACCAGTAGTGCTGATATGAACCTGAGGTGATCATATATACACTATTACAATTGGTCAAGTACTTCTTAAAAACAAAACACTTTAAAATGCCTCCATAGCAGCAAAAACTGCAAATTCTGACTTCAGTTTTACACGGCCTTGCAAAACAATTTCTCCAACACCAAGTTTTTAAACATCCTTTGTCCTTTTTTGTACCCTCAAATAACTACATAGTTACTTCAGCTCTATATACCCAGGCACATTTTCCATATTCAAGTAATCTTTCAACACAAAAAGCAGAAAAACACCCAAGATGGTCACATTCCATTGTAGGCTGGTCCGCCACCACCCTCGGGCACAACCCAGTTGATGTTCTGGCTCGGGTCCTTGATGTCACAGGTCTTACAGTGGACACAGTTCTGAGCATTAATCTGCAACCTCATCCCATCACCTGTGTCCAGGGGAACATACTCGTACACACCTGAGTGTTTGTGGGTGAGAGAGTAAACGAGTTAGAAAACAGACCCAGAAGAAAAGCTGCTTGAATGACGTAATGACATGATTATCTATGTGAGATACTTTTTATATCAAATCCTTACATGGATACTGAGGAGTTCTTCCTTTTATAGTTTCTGTTATGGTTGCTGCACTGATAGTGTTCTGTCTAGGTGCTTGCTTTTACCCCTCTGACAGCATGTTTGGGATCACTGTCATTCTGAATAAAGAAGCCGTTGTTACATTCTTTCCAGATGGAGGATCAAAATCTGACAGTACATGTCTGCATTCATAATTTCATCAGTTTTGAAAGGATCCCCAAATGTGACAGATGGCTCTAGACACTGTTGTACTCTCTCCTGACCTCCTGTTTGTGTAATCCGGCATCTTTCAGCCTTTTCTTCTACTAAGGCTTCAGCAAACAGTCCATGGATAAACTGAAGGACCAGATGTGTCTTTCAGGTCTGCATATTATTTCCTATTTCTTAACACTAGAACAGACTAGAACAGACCCCCTTGCATTTTAAAAATCTTGTGAAAGTTGAAATAAAACACCAACACTTATATTTTATGACTTTTCCTAAAATATGTCCATTCAGTGAATGTGATGAGGTCAATTATAAACTATTTATGGGCAATGAATAGTTCAGTATGTTTTTACAGTGAGACTGTTTTTATGCCTTTTTTATTTTAGCCTAAGTAAGACCAGCCATTATCCATTATGCTAGGTATTGTAGCAGCTGGATAGCGTAGTGATAAGACTACATGCCTTGGGTTTGGGAGTGGGAGTTTGATTCCCACCTGGGGGTGTCTGTATCCAGTAGTCCTAGATCCCCCACCCCAGACATGAGTGAGATAAATATGAGGATCGAGAGTGCTACGGCAAGGGGGAGCCAGGCCGACAGGTCAAAGGGGGAGATCTCGTCACCCCAAATGCGATAGAAGAAAGGATTGTTGAGTGTGGGATCTACACTACGGCGGCAGCCTACAGCATACATCATTTGGACTGTGGAAGTGTAGTTGGATGATAGCAAAGAGCGCACTATTTGGCATTTAAGTTCATCCCTTGAGTTTGCACGAATGACTCACGGGTCAGTTTAAAGTTGCTTTCTGAAAATAGTCAAGTCATTATGTCTGCTTCAGGTCTTTCTTTTAATGGTTGCCCCACCTGCAGGCAAAATGTCTTAATGTTGTGGGTTTTTATTTTCATAAGTTTTCATAAATTATAGATCTTTTTAATGTAGGAAGAACCATTAGCTAAAATTGGTCGTTTTTTTCCCACTCATTAAAAGAATGTTTTGTTTCTACCACAAAGGTTAACAAGATGAAATAATGAGAGTAAAAGTTGATAGTTTAATCAGCTTTTCATCTAATTTTCCCCATCTCCTAGTTACATTACTGCTCCCTGCTTTAATTTTAATAGCACATAGACCTAACTATTACCAAACCCTATAAAGCCCAGTGATAGACTCCAGCCCCACTTCTACTCTGAAGATGTGGAAGATGATGGATGGGTGGATGATAAAGACCAAAGGTGCACATAGTGATGGTAAAGTTGTAGATTTTTTTAAAAACCATATTCCTAATGCGTGCTTGCAAAATTAGTTAGACTAATCATGGTTAATGAGTGTTTGTGCCCAGATGAATGTAGGTTGCGGTAAATATAATAATTTAAGCCTCCAAACAACAGCCTGAAACTGGTAATGATGAGTGCAGGGCAAAACCTAACAGTGCTTCTGTAACTACATTTTAAATTTTAAACATGTAGCAGGTTCTAGATTTTGTGGCCTTATTATATGGAACAGTGTAAGGCTGACTGATTATACTCCAAACATAGTTGTGATTAAAAAATACAAAAAAACAAAACAACCTCAAGGATAGTTTATAGGCTGTAAGGTTGGAGGCAAGTAATAGATTTAAGCTGTGTTAGTTCTCTGCTGCTTTTCGCCAGCCAACCCTGGTATTCCCATAACTATTAAAAAAAGCATTTGGACCTTGCTGACCTAAAGCTGCACTGTGTACAGGGGTATTAATGTAACTGCTGGCCTTTCTCCCATGCTCTTTAGGGCTTGCGTCTGTGGGTCTCAACTTGTGCTGCATTTTGCTTCTCGTAGACCTCACATCATTAAGTTTCAGTTTCCAGAGAATTCAAATGGAGCCACAGTCTGAGAGACAGAATAATGAGTTTAGCTTAACTTAAATAGAGATAAACACAAAGAACCTGAGCCTGTCTACCTGGCTTAAACAAACTCACTCATACCCTAAACCTACTGATAATAATGTCATTACATTTGTTGTGAGATTTGGCTTTAAATGGAGGCTGAAGCTTTTAAAAACAAGAAAATGTTACTCATTACCACAGAGACACCCAGGAATGCTGGCCTCAACTCGCTCTCTTTTTTTTTTTTTAAATACTTAGCTTGCTTGCAACAAGCCTGGTGTGCATGCAAAACCTACGATACCTATAGAAATTTACAGTCTGTCAGTTTTTGCAAATGACCTTAAAATATTTTTGGGGAAGAAAAAGAAAACCAGGATACAAGATTTTTGACAGCCTCCTTTTTCCACATGTAGCACGCAGAAGGGATTGGTAAACTTGGGTGGGGTTTTTTTGTTCTTTGTTTTCAAATCCTATGGTTAAGGTGTGGAAGTTTCCTGGAAAGAAATTGGAAGAAGCAGCAAACAAGAGGACATAATATTAGCTGCTACTTTTGCACATCACCGCAATGTGATACCACACAGGCATTCACCTAATATCTGAGCTTACTGCACCCAACATTTGTGCCATTAAAGCCTGCATATGTCAAAATAGCTTAAGTTCTCAATAAGACATTAACCCATCAGAACATCTTCAATGAGCCTTGGAATTGAATGTACAACTCTCATGAACTATATTGCAGTGATGTACAACCAGACTTTGCTTCATTTGCTGTTTTAATCATTGTGGGTAGTGCTTCATAATTCACCGGTCCAAAATCTCCTAAAAGGTATTCAACTGTGTTCAAGATCTATTGAGTAGGATGCTCACAGGAATAGTTACATAATTTTCAGACTAGTAAAACCAGGATAGAGATGTTTTACTTTAAGACAAAGGTGATAAATTCAGAACAATGTTTTATTGATTAGGAGAGACTCTTCCTTGGAGGGTAAAAGAGGGGCCGGAATCCCTTATTTAGAGGTCTCCATTGTTAATAATTCAAAGGAAGAGGTTATAAGTGGGGCTGAAGCTTATGCTTGCTTAAGTCAAGTGAAAGGCATGGCTAAAACAGAGAGACATTCACATCATCTTTGAATTAATGTAACAGGAGCGAAACCAACAAAAACTTACAGGAGAACATAAAAACTCTCAAAAGCCCCCAACCAAACTGGACGTTTCAATCTAGTGAGGTAACAATGCTAACTAGTACATGTGTGCTCCATGTTTGGTGAAACAACTACACATAACTGGTTTAAGAGAACACTAAATGAGAGCAATTCTGATAAAGCATTGACCATTTAACACATAAAAGAACTAAATCATTGCTGGTTCCAGTTTTCCAGTACAAGTGTTTGCTTTGCTTTTCTGAACAGACTGAATGTCAAGGTGACTATTATGTTTAAACTACAATGATTAGATTATGTAACTCTGTCCTCTAAGCACATTGCTTCTGTGTTACTAATGTTAACATGCCCTGTTTAATTTGATGTGGATATGTATGCAAGAACTCAGTTTTCACCTTCTTACTTTACTATGTGGAAAACATGTTGCAATTCTCTTTAGGGACTGTAGTGGCGTTACCTGCGGGGCAGAAACGTTGCTCGGGTCCATCGTAAATACCCAAGTTCCTGGCGACCGGGATGCTGTCATCTTTTAAGGTAAGATGTGGGGGCTGGTCCCCCTCATGGTTGGTCCCACTCAACGCCACAGAGGAGAGCAGGTCAAAGCTTATCTTGCCATCAGGCTTGGGGTACTCAATCGGTGTACATTCCTTAGCTGGTTTCAGCTGGTTTGCATCAGTACCTGAGAAAGATTTTGCAGAGTTGGTCACAAAATGCTGATTTATCCGCTAGGATAAGATAACCTCAGACCTCAGGTAAAGACAAACCACTGGTATTTTGTGGTTTCTGCCGTTCTGCAGCAACAAACTTGAACACAGTGGAAAACCTACAGTAGTCCACTTTGCAATCTTTGCACATTAAGTCAAGGTCACTGGCAATACAGACTTTTTACAGCCTGGCAAAGAGTTAAAGTAGAGCTGCAGCCACCGATTATTTTAGTGATTGAGTAATCTATCAATTAATCACATAATTGGATAAGAAATACTTTTGTCTTATCAATGAGCAATAATAAATACTCAAAAGAGAAAAAGCACAGGTCTTTCTAAATGAACTGCTCATTGGTTTTCTATTTTAGTAATTGTAATGTTTTAAA